TCCTCCATATCTGTGTGAACTTGTCCATTACTACAACCCGCCGCGTGCTCTCAGGTCTGAAGATAAGCTCCTCCTAGCTGTTCCCAATGCACGTTTAAAAAGCCGTGGAGAGAGGGCTTTCTCTGTCTGTGCACCGAAGCTGTGGAACGCATTACCACTGCTAGTGAGGCAAGCACCAACAGCTAGCATTTTTAAATCATGCCTGAAAACTCACTACTTAAACCTAGCTTAAACAACATAATTATGAACCTCACTGACGTCTGCACTGTTTATAAACTGACTCCGCAACTATCGACTTCCGTATTATTGAGGTTCTTTGTAAAATGTTTTTTTTTTTCCTATTTTTACTTCACCCTGTGTCTTAATGATTTTTAGCTGTTATCTTTGGGAATTTTGTTGTATTTCCTTTTTATCTTTTATCTGTGTTCGACATGTTTATATAACGCCTGTTTAATTAACCAACATTTTTAGTGTACAGCGCCTTGTTTGGTTGTAATGCCTTGTGAATGCGCTTTATAAATAAAATTGGATTGGATTGGATTGGAGCATTGCAATAGTCGAGCCTGGATAAAACAAATGTGTGGAGTACAAACTCCATGTGCGCTCGTGACAACAAAGGCTTGATTTTGGTATGCCGCCAAAGGTTAAAAAAGCAGACTTGTACCACCATGTTGATGTGAGCTTCCAGTTTGAGCATGCCTTGAAACTGCTGTGGTTAGACTGGGGACAATGATGTTAACTGAATTCCTGCAGTTGCTCCTCTCTTGTTTCAGCAGGAGCAGGATAGCAATGTCAAAATAGTTCTAAGAAATGCCTAACAAGTCCAGCTGAGGGCTGTTTACTGCATGTCACGTTCCCATTTCTTTGTTTCATGACTCGAATCCACCAATCTATAGATTGCACCCAGTTAAACTAACTGATGCACCAATAAAGTTTAGACAATAAAATAAAACAAAGTCAGGAAAAGATTATTTTTCTTTTAGCTTTTGTGGCTAAGCTGACGTAAGAGATTTTATGTGTCTGAGAAACTGTATTTATCAGGAAGTACAAGAAGTCATCCACTAATTGGAAGGTCAGCTTTTTAATTCTTTGATCATCCAATCCACTTGTCGGTGGATTCGAAGCCGGAAAACCTAATTGCTCCCGATATGCTGTCACTTTGGGGGAGAAAATGAACAATTTTTAAAAAGAATTATGATGCAACATTTTAATCAAAGATGTGTTGAGTAGCAACTGTGAAAGCAACACAAATGTTGTCCTCTTCATAAAACTCTTCAAAAGATCTGTTATTTATGTTGCTCCTGTTATCAGAGTCAACTAAACATGACAAATGACAATTAAATGTATCATTTGAGTAGCAGCTATAGCATACAATACTTCAACGATTACACCTAATTAGTTCATTAAATTAAAACAACTCATGCAACAGCTGAATGTCCTGAACAAGAATGACATTTTCTAAATGACAAACTACTCATTGGGTGACAGTGTTGTCAGATGTGATTATTAACAACGTGATATCTTTGGCACTTTGAAAGATGCAACTCAAAAGAAAGATGCACTCAAAAGATGCTGTGGAGTAAACATCTCTCTGTCTGCAGCACGGCCCTATTGCTACAGTGCAGCGGCCGCCTGCTGCTCAGTGGGAAGAGATGAAAGGAGAGAGCAATGTGCGTGTTTGTGTGTGTGTGGCCCTCTCTGTCCGTCACTGCCACAGCAGTGGACAACCTCTACAGCAGTGGACAAAACGACTTGCTGTGGCATTAATTGCACTAATAGAGCGTCCAAGGAGTCCACTTCATTTTTTTTCGGTAAGTAAAATTATATTTATGTATTATAGGTCACTGCCGAGCTGAGCTTAGATTTTAACATGTACTGTTTAACCATGAAATTTAAATGTAATAGGGCAAACCCCAGTGCATTTAACATAATGCTGCACTTTAGAAAATGGGTTGATATATAACATGTTGGTGGAGCTGGGTTCCGACTATTGGCTTGTGGAGCTCTTGGGAGACCAATGTTTTCCACCCGTTTCTCCCCTCCCCGCAGCTCGGCACATCTCTGTCTGATCGCAGCTTCTGTCTGCTGCGGGGGCTGCCGGCCGGCTTGTGGTTCTCCCCTCCCCGCAGCTCAGCGCATCTCTGTCTGATCGCGGCTCCTGACTGCTGCACGGGCTGCCGGCTTGTGGAGCTCTGGGATGGAAACCTTTCCACCCGGTTCTCCCTAGCAGCAGCTCTGCGCATCTCAGATCACAGAGGCGCTTGTCTGCTGCGCAGGCTGCCGGCTTTCAGCAGCTTTCGGGAGACCTCTGTGTTCCACCCGGTTTTACCCAGCGGTCACCCTGGCGTATCTCTGACTCAGAAGCTCTGGTGTTATGCACAGTTAACTCCGGTTGTAGCTAGGTTGCTACCTCCGTTAGCTTAGCTCCCACCTCCACGTTAGCTTTGGGTTAGCTTCAGGTTAGCTTGTAGCTAGTTCGACCGGGTGTCGTCAGTTGATCCCAGCCTTACAGCCCCACCCTCAGCTCCACCTCTCTTCCCTTTTGTGGAATTGTCTGGGCTTGACGGAACCTGTGACACGGTCAAAATGGCAGTGGTGGCCACCTCCCATTTTAGCTCAAAAGCTTATTATTGGAGTCTATGGAAACCCATTGTCCAATATTTATATGTCGATGGGATTTCCGCATTCCTGAGAATTCCATGAGAACCATGCATGAACAAAACCACCCATAGATCCACTTCTCCTCCACATCAAGACATTACAGTTTTTATGCCTTGATAATGATATCAAAGAGCCTGTCAAGAACATTGTGTATCTGGGCTCCTTAGTGACAGACAACAGAGACCTGAAACCAGAGATCAACCGCAGAAGAGCCCTGGCTGCATCAGCTCTGCGGTCTCTCTGGAAACCACTCTGGCGGCACCAGACCATCTCTCGCAAGACAAAGCTCCACATTTACTACTTAGCCGTACTCTCCATCCTATGGCTCAGAGACCTGGCCCTTAAACAAGACTCTAACTACAAGAATCGATGCCTTTGATAGCTGGGCTCTGAGAACCACTGAGTACATCATGTGGCCCCAGCGGTACTCCAACCAAGTGCCAAGAGGAATGCACGCGCCAGCCCAGAGCATCTTGCCTGGCAGCACAATGCCACACCCGCTGGCTTGGCCATGTCCTCCATCTTTCTTTTGACCAACCGACCAGAGCCATTCTGCAGTTTGACGCGAGGGTGGCAGGCTGGAGACGACCTCGAGGTAAATCCCACACCCAATGGCTCAATGTTGTTGCAGGAGACCTCCAACAATTCGAAGTTGCCGTTGCGAATGCAGAGCAGCTGGCATCAAACCACCAGCACTGGAAAAAGTGGTTCACCTGGTAGGCTTATTGCACTGGTGCGGGACAACCCCCGACCCTTCGCAGGAGCCTTGATGAAGATGATGATGAACTTAAGTGTAACAACAAAAAAATCAAGTGGGTGGAAGATGACATAAATGTTTCTACAGAAGTTTTTACTGCACAGCTTGTAATTCTCCTAGAACCATTTTGGAAGTAAAACCTCTTTGCTTGCAAAACATTTTAAACATTTAGAAAAGTGAGAGGAATCCCATTGTCATCTATGGAGAAAGTTTAGTTAATTTAATGTGTTGCACATTGTACTGCTACCAAAGGTCAATTTCTCATAGAACCGCATGTTTTGATACATAATTTGCATTGTTTTTGTTTAATTCCAATCTCCTCTCTCACGCAATAACTTCAAAACATCGCACCATTGGGGACAGAGTTTTTTCTGTGGCTGCTCTCACCTTATGGAACTCTCTACCCCAACATATTTGTACTGCTGACTCACTTCATACATTCAAAAACCTCCTGAAATCTTACCTGTTTAATCAAGCATTTAAAGCTTGTTAGTTTATTTTACTGTCTCCTTCTCTCTGATTGTAAAGCGTCTTTGAGTAGTGGTTAAAAGCGCTATAGAAAACCTAGGCATTATCATTAAAATTATTATTATTTATTACGTGAAAACAGAATAAAAAAGCTGACAGAATCACAAACTGAAAAACAGCAAGAGTGCTCAATCTTGATGGAAGACGTAGTGATGCTCAGTGAAAATGATCACTGATGATGCTGCCAACAAAGCAGAAGACTGCTAGAAGACTGGCAGATACATACGTCAGGGAGACAGAAAGGTGGTGAGGGACTGTGAAAGATTTAGCTTGCCCTGTCTGTAGTTCAGTGAGCTGGCAACAGGAGATGAAGATAAATACGTGGCCAAAAGGCAAGCAGTCAATACGACGACATTCACGCAGACACATCTTCAGAGCTGATTCTCTCTGAACTCTCATCCTCCACTTCCCTTCCATTCAGCCGCCCTTGCTACAATCACACACAACTTCTGCATTTGTGACCTGAAGAGAAATCATACTTTCACATTTGGAGACACACCCCGCGCAAGCACACACTCATCCCACTGCTCTCTCACCTCTCCGTGGTTGCTAGGCGACAGCACATATCCACAGATTGTTTACAGAGCCTTGTAATATGGTTCATCTGGGAGGGGGGCACAGATAGATGACACAATCTTCTCAGATGGAAGGATAAAAGGAATAAAAGAGGAACAGCAATACGTCCATTCATGGGCAAGCACGCAATAAAGCAACAAGGCTACTGCCCCCATGGGACTGATGTACTTTGAAAGATGAAGGAAATATAATTTAATCCTGCATTTGAGAGGCCAACACATTTATCCAAGTCTCTGTTGTGGAATGGGTTTGCCTTTCACATGTTATGTATTGTGTTTCCCTTTTGTTTTGGTCAGAAAAGACAAAAATCCCACTTGATTTTATCCTGTCTGCAACAAGGGTTTGTTCAATTTGACTATGATGTGAAAATCAGACTTTTTATTGCTTTATTGACTCAATTACATCAAAAATAACTACAACTTTAGATTGTTGCTGTCCTTTTTTAGGCTGAATGGTGCAGACTCGGGTTCACACTCACATGATCGTGTTGATTCCTGAAAGCTGCTGGAACATCTGGAGACCACAACCCACAAGAAGAGCTCGTCGGGTCGGGGGGTAGGTCAGCATCCGCCAGATCACAGGGCCGTCTATAGAAGACACAGAAAGTACAATTACACATTTGTCACAGCTATACAGTGAAAGATTAAATAGAGACCTTGAATCCTCAGATCACCACTGTAATAGCCCATTTAGAATCTTTAAATTTTTTTTATGAAATATTTTAACTTTAGTCTCACTTTTTTCACCTTGTTTTTTTCTTCTTCTCAGTGGCCCCTTATAAGTCAGTGTGTGTACAGTTGTGGACAAAATTGTTGGTATCTTTAGGTCAATGAAAGAAAAACCGTGAATGTCAGACATTGCTTTTCAACCATTCTTCAACAGAATTATTAAAAAAAACTCATGGAACAGATCAGGACAAAAATGGTGGTACCCCTAGAAAAGGGTGAAAATAATGTGCCCAAAGGGGCATGTTAATTTAAGGTGTGTCCACTAGTTAGCATCACAAGTGTCTACAATCTTGCAGTCAGTCAGTGGGTCTGTATTTAGGGCTTCAGGTAGTCACTGTGTGGTTTGGTGACACGGTGTGTACCACAGTCAAACATGGACCAGAGAAAGCGAAGGAAAGAGTTGTCCTTGGAGATTATAAAGAAATTATAAACAAACATGTTAAAAACAAAGGCTATAAGACCATTTATAAGCAGCTAGATGTTCCTGTGGCTAGATTTGCATATATTATTCAGAAAATTAAGATTGATAGGACTGTAGATCTATAAAGAGGTTAATTTCAAGCTCAAGGGCCATCAGTGCCAAGTTGCACCATCCATTGTTGTTTGAGCCAAGTGGACTACATGGGAGTTGACCAAGGAGGACACCATTGTTGAAAATAAATCATAAAAACGCCAGTCTGGAATATGCCAAACTACATGTTGACAAGTCCCCAAAGCTTCTAGGAGAATGTCCTTTGTGCCTTTGAGACGCAGAAGGAAGTGATGCCACCATTAGCGGCTAGCTCTGAAGAAGACTGGATGAGTGGTCAAAACAAAAGGTAAAACAACCCATTCCTGAGAACCAATTATTTTGTCCACGTCAGTACATAGTCAAATTAGTCAAAACTTCATTGTTTTCTTGTCAGACTTGAAGAAAAAAACTTTTGGTCCACAAGAACAAATTTATGCTAAACATGTCTAAATACTATTGGTGGCCAAACGTGACGAGGGCTGAATTGATAAGTAAACCAGTTGTAGGTGTATACTAGTAATTACTCTTCTAAAGTTTTATTAAAATATATCTAGTTTTTAATGAAACACACACACACACACACACACACACACACACACACACACACACACGCACACACACACACCCATTTCACCCTGTTAGTGCTGGGTGACAACATCCAAGAGCAATACTGCCCTGATAATAGAGCATCTAACCCTTTGTGGCCACAAACACACGAGCTGCCGAAGGTTTTTATTTATTTATTTTTGCATACAAGATGTTGAGACGCTCATCCTCACACAACTCTGATCTCTATCCTACCACAGATGAGAAATGATTATCTGGCGGATCAGAAAAACAGAGATGCTGCCATTTCTATTTTTCAGATGGTGGATAATCTCAGTGTGGGATGAAACAAACATTTAAATTTGGATTTGGACTCCCACTTGGCTCAGCATCAGAGCCAGACTGTGACCATCACACTGAGACAACTGGCCTCCTCTGGAAGGAGATGTCTTAACAAGAGGAGACTACAACCGGACAAGCACGGAGCTTTGAGATAAAACAGGACACACAATGAACACAGAGACAATCCTAAACATACATAAATACACAATGAATACCTGTGTAATTGAGTAAAGGAGCAAATGCAATCTAAAAAGTGATGCATTAGTGTGAACATATGACATGACACACACAGGCTGATTGTTTGGAAGCAGCTGTGAGTGGGAGGATCAGCCAACATGTCCCTTAAGTGTTGGACGAGCAGAGTCGAGTTTGGAAAGGTTCCTGCTGACACACAAGTATACTCCTTTGGTTGGCCGCCTCTCACACTTCTACCAGAGGATTTTCACCAACGATGTGCCTCAAGGGACCACTTTTCATTTGAGACCATAAAAAAATTAACGCAGCAAATCAGTAATTTTATCAAAACACCTTTTCTAACCAATGCAAGCCGAACTTTCAGTTGTCTGGAAATTATGTAAAAATACCACAGTAAATATATAATTTACTATTAACTATTATAATAATATTCACTATACAATCTGCTTTACACTCTTACAGACCAAGGTACTACTATGGATGATGCATTTAAAGCACTGAAAGCTTGCTTTAATCCAAAAGGAATTCTGTAGCTGAGCGACACTTTTTCATAAAACGCACCCAAACTGAAACTATTCTGCACTATGTGGCCGTTTTGAGAGATTTAACTAAATTAATATGATAGCTGTTTTCAACTATGAGAATTGTTGTTTGTTGTTTTCAGTGCTAGAATGTGAAATGAAAATTTAAAAATGTAAAGAATGCGAAGAATTTATGAAGAATAATTTTATCTGTGAAGGATGTAAACATTTACTATTAAACTCAACTGACAATGAGGAGGGAGGCATGTGTTTTGGGTTCAGTCATTTCCATGGTGCAAACAGGTAGAGTTTGATTGGTTCATTCAGAGAGACCAGAGGCTGTTATCTGATTAGGTGAAAGGGAACCATAATCATAGGCATAAGCCAAAAATCAAGACTGTTTACACCTAAAGTCAGCATGAAGAACGTTGGTTACGTATTGTAACCCCAGATTCTATGAGTCTAGTCGCAGCCCTTAAGCTAGCTGCTATTGGAAGGATGATCTCCGCATCAGCCAATCATGAAGAGCTTAAATGTACGCCCACCAATAGTGGGCCCCCTCGTGGTATATAACCGCAGTGACCCCACTGCTCACCTCCAATGGCTCTTATTCCCATCATAACCAGTGGGGCCAGTGGCTTAAGGGCTGCGACTAGACTCATAGAATCTGGGGTTACAATACGTAACCAACGTTCTATTTCGTCTAGTCTTAGCCCTTAAGCTAGCTGCTATTGGAATAAAGCGCAGGTGGATGGGTTTACGCCCCACTGGTTAACACAACCAATGGACACACCCAATCAAATCTCCTCTAGTGGGGGACGTTCAGCCTCAGACCAGGCCTAAAGACTGAGGCAGGCACGATAAGAGAGGGGCCCCCACTAAAAAACATCATCCACAAGAGGATAAAATCCATCTCAGCAAGGCCAATGAGGTGCCATAAGCATTCATTTAGCCTGCTGGGGTCCAAGCACTGAACGAGTGATGGAACCTGAAGACACATCTCGTAAATAATAACGAGTAAAGGAACAGGGTGAAGCCCATGAAGCAGCCTGACAAATGTCTTCCATTGACACACCACTGAGGAGCGCCATCGAAGAGGAAATCCCTCTGGCCGAGTGAGCCCTGAGTGCCTCAGGGGGATCCCGCCCTGATGATGTGTAAGCGAGGGAAATGGCGTCACACAGCCAGCGTGAAAGGCGCTGGGCCGACAGCGCCTGACCAAGGGAAGACTCCCTGTAGTGCACAAACAGGTTTTGTGAGCGACGAATCCCTGAAGTGCGTGACACATATCGTGCAAGCGCGCGCACCGGGCAGAGAAGGTGAGAAGCCGCCTCCTCCTCAGAATTATGGGGAGGAGGAAAAAGTCCAGCCAATGAAATTGACCTGGATTTGAAGGAAGCATTAATGCTTTTGGGCACAAAGGCTGGGTTGGGGCATAAAACAGCAGACCCGCCATCCTCCCGGATCCTGAGGCATGCGGGAGCCACTGAGAGGGCGGTTAGGTCACTCACTCTCTTAACTGATGCTAGCGCCAGCAGCAATGCAGTTTTAAGCGACAGGAACTTGAGTGAGACCTGGTCCAAGGGTTCAAATGGAGCTTCAGATAAGCCGTGCAGAACCACCGTTAGATCCCATTGGGGAAAAAGCGGGCGGGACACAGGTCTGTTCCTTCTGACACCTTTTAGAAAACGTTTTGTGAGGGGATGATTGAAAACAGATCTATCTCCAAAACCCTGATGACATGATGAGATAGCTGCAGCATATGTCTTAACAGTGCTGAATGCGAGGCCCCTGTCCATCAGTATCTGCAAAAACGATAGAACATCCGCCAGCTGGCAGGAGAGCGCTTGAACATTCCGTTCTGCGCACCAGTTCTGGAAAGCTGCCCATTTAGCAGCGTAAGAGGCAATGGTAGAGGGCGCCCGCGCACTCTGAATCGTGGCCACCACATCATGCGGCAGCCCAGAAGCCTCTAAGCGTGACCGCTCAGCGGCCAGACCCACAGCCGTTGGCCTATTTCCGGAGGATGTTTGATTATCCCATCCGCCTGGAGAAGGGCGTCCGCCCTCCACGGGAGCCTCCACGGGGAGCCGGACACTAGCGCTTGCAGGTCCGGAAACCATGACGCGGACACGCGGCTGGGAGCCACCAGAATCACCGAGAGCTGTTCCGACCGAATTCGGTCCAGGAGACGGGGAATCAGAGGGACTGGTGGAAACGCGTAAAGGAGCGTTCGAGGCCAGGGCTGGTGTGAGAAGGCGTCCGCCCCGAGCGGGGGTCCGTCCCGGGGACTCAGGGAAAACCACAGGCGACACTGAGCGTTTTCGCGAGCCGCGAACAGATCCACAGACGGTTCCCCGAACCTGATCCAGATCTGTGATATCAGTGCAGGATGTAGACGCCAGTCGGAGTCGCGGGGTCCCCCTCTCGACAGGATGTCTTCCGCTACATTCAGTACCCCCGGAATGTAGATGGCTCTGATGGACAGCAGGTGGACATGTGTCCAACACAGTAAATCTGTGGCGACACGCAACAGTGGGAGGGATCGAACTCCCCCTTGGCGATTTATGTAGGCTGCCGCTACCCGGTTGTCTGTGTGAACTTCGACATGACGGCCCTCGAGAAGGGCAGCGAAGTGTCTGATCACATTCCTCACTGTCATAAGCTCCAACACATTTATGTGCTCGTGCGTGTGGGAGGGCCAGCGATCTGCCACCGTGTGGGACAAGCACGTGCCCCCCCAC